GATAATGCACTGGGCCCGGCGTATCGAGCAGGAGATTGACAGAGTCTTTCAGCACATCACTGGAGCGCAGCAGTTGAAAGGGGTGAGTGTGTGGTTGTCTTACTCATCAGCGTGCCGCATAAACTCCAAGAGGAATGCGCCGAGCGGAGAGGTCAGCGTGCAAAATAGCCGTAAATCCATTAAGTTCAAGAGCTAAAGCTTAATAGGTGCATAAAGCGAGAAAGCAATTACAGTCGGCCTCCTAGAAACCACTTTGTTTCTGTTTTTTTTCCCTGATTTTCTGGGACCCCTTGCAGAGTCATGAACAGCCAATAACACAATGTTTTTGTTTTCCCAGGATGGACATAAAGCTCTAATAGCTTTTACATTCAGCAGTTTGCAGAACGCGTGCTCTGTTTCGTAGATCTCAAATTTTTTTGCTGGCTCTTTGTGCATTGTTTGCAATAATTATCAGCCCCGCGCACATTTTCCTGATTCCTACAAAGCGAAGGAGATGGCTGAGCGCGCGCCGCCTACGGTGGTTCGATTTAGAATGTTTAGTATTATGTTTCATGAAGTCATGAGCTTAATAACACCTACATTCATGAATACTAATACAGAGCTTTCTTGAGCCGATCCGTGCCGTGTGAAGCGGCTCACTCTGGCACACATGGCGGATATTTTTCCTCCAGAAGCAGTTACTCAGACACATCTGATGCATCTTGACATTACATACATCACAGTAATCTGATTCCTGGCTCTCTGCAGCAGCCTGTCATATCCTATAAACTGAACTTCATATTAAGGCTAAATGGGCTCAGTTTCAGATGGAGTTTGGACTTTTTTTTTTCTAACAGTGTCTCTAGAAATAAATGTTTTATGTTTATTCTGTATTCGTCTTACTGTTGTGTTAGTCCCCGTATCTGCCAGCTTCTCTGCATCTTTTCTGCTCCAAGTCAACTTCTTTTGAAAACGTGTCACAAATCCGTATTTTAATTTTAATTATTTTTTATTAGAAATTTGCCAAAGCAGCCTGGCACCACAGCTTTTGGCAGACGTCACCCAAACAGCAGGGAATAGTGCCGATTTGGTGTTTATTTTGAACCGCGAGTTTGCGCTGGGAAGGATTTATCAAGTAAAAATAAATAAATCATCACAGTAAAGGAACATGTTACCCAGTGTACTGTTTGGACGACAACGGAGCTCTGTGGCACGCAGGAATAAGCGTCATCAGAACTGGGTTTGTTGGTTAGATCCGTTTACAGTTTGTTTTGGTCTTTTTGTGGGATTTGTTGAGATTATGGAAACAGTAGAATAATACCAGACTTATCATTTAACCCCTCTTAAACCCCCAAACCCGCTGGCGGCTCAGAAAGGCATGTTATGTTCAAAAATCGCCAACATTACAGCGTTTAACAGAGTCGGGAGCTGCAAGAATGGAAGAATTGTTGGATTTTTAGCTTTCCAGTGGACGACTCATCTGTCAGAAAACTTAAGCCTAAAATCATGATATTTCATCACCACTTTATTCTCTGTGTGTCATCTAAAAATTTGCCTAAAATGAAAGCGTAACCGGATTCTATAAAGAACAAAAATGTCGCCTCTTCTCAGCGCATATGGGAAGCATCTTAGCTGTGAGCAACAGTGATGTGACAAAGACCCACTAGAGCTGGGCTAAAATATAAAAACAAATAAAAAGGTTGGGAGTAAAATATCTCTGTAGGTTGAGTCACTGTTTTTATCCCAGTGTTGGTTTCACATGTGGGCACTTGGAAAATGTCCTACATGTTGATTCTAGGTGTTTCCAGTTGTTACCTTAAATATAAATCAAAGAAATTCAACTCTCGATTTTTCTTCTTTTTCTTATATGATTCAGGGCTTTGTAATTGTGTCAAACTGCACAAAAGACATGTTTGAGTTGTCCCTCCTTCTAGCCATGGTTGTGCCTTTTCATAGAGGTGCAGAGCTTTATACTGCAGTTAAAAAAAATGAGTGAAAACAAGTGACAGCAGCAAAACATGTGCAGAAACTGCTCGGGGTTTAAAGGGTTAAATGTGCATAATTAGAGCTGTGAAGAATCTTGAAAATGTAAGATTAATCTGTTATGAGCAATTAGCAGCGATTGTTAGTTGCAACTCTAAGATACATGAAAACTAAAATAAAGATAATTGAAAATACTGAACCACCAGATAATACAAATGTAAGGTTTGTAGATGTGCTTAATTCAGCCACGGCATGCAAATATCTGCTATTTTTATCTGGTCTCTTGTGTGCTGGTAAACACAGTCTGTTCGTTGGGAATGCATTTCATTCTCGTACGTTTCCAGGGTTGCTTCACATCCTCAGTGTAACAGGTGACTGGAGAGGAGGGGTTGTCCCTGAAACGGCAGATGCCAAAAACCAGGACCAGAGATCATCTGTAGGGGGCAAGAGAGCCCTGCTCTGTGGAGCTGTGTGGGGGCGTTTCCTCAGCAGAGAGCAGCGGCACGTGTCCTCTCTGTTTGTGTCACAGCAGAGCAGATGGTCAGCCTGCAGTAATGCCTTGATGTGAGACTCACTTGTTCATTCAGCTCTCATTAATCCCTCCATGCTTCTCAAACACTCTGGATCCGTTAAAGAAATTGTTCTTAGCCCGGAAACCTCGATGCAATCTCCTCCCGTCGAGGGAAAACAAGTGTAATTCAAATGAAAACGTCCGTCTCAATTCCTCAAAAAAGCCTCGATGTTACATTTGCACATAATGGTGACGGCCTCTGCGACGCCGGCCCCTCTGACTTTAGGTTTCTGCCATTTGCTGCTCGCATGCAGGTTTTGGATTAAATCCTAAAGCACTTCCATTTTGTATTTTTAATCCTAAAAAAAGCTAACATGATTATCTGCGATGGTAGGGCCAGTAAAACCCCCTGCAAGACCCCCGTCATCACAATAACAGGAGCGTGCAGGCGGCTGTGTGCTGACGTCACCGGGCTGCGATGCTGATGTTCAGCTGCTCTGATGTTTACAGGGTGTCAACAGAGCAGCATTTGCTAATGAGCACTAAACACAGCAGGCTCGGACAAGAATGTTATGGATTTTGTCGTTATTTGGTCTAAAACCAAATGAAAGGACTCATCAAAAGAAGTGCGGTTCATCCTGAGCTAGATGTGAATGTTGTCAGTTCAGTAGTTAAGAAATTTCTCTCAGAACCAAACAAACTGACACGATTACCAAAGTAGTCGGGTTTGTTTAGCGTTAAATTACTGGACGTTTAGGTGATACTGTACGTACTCCTGCTGGTCCTCTTTCCATAATGAATTACGCTTTAAATGTAAATTTTTTACCACATTTCCTTTTATTCTGGAAATTATTTCCCTTTAACCGTCAGTAGGGTTCATCTTCTGGTGACCANAAATACAGGCTGGCATGTTAAAGACAAAGTTTGACATTTGAGGAGATACCCCAAATATATTTGTACAAAGACTTTAAACATTTAGATATCTTTATTAAGTTCCGCTCACTGGATTACTGGACAGACGGTTATAGTTGGAGGACAGATATGAGAGGCGTATGAGTTTTATTTATTTTTTTCTCAGCAAGAAAGCGAGCGAGCAACGTCTTTCACAACCTGCCAAATTAGTCACCGTACAGTTATATATAAGGACCAGGGTACACCATGATGACAGGGAATCTGATTCAAGAGAAGATGTGAGACTAAAAAAAAAGTAAACACTTCCTCTTTTATCATATATGAGGCGGCTGAAACATTCTCAGAGGACTTTATCGCTGCTGACAGATCTGAAGACGACGAGCTCCCAGGAGAAGTTAACGCGGCGGATGAGCGGCGTCACTTCGTTGGACTGACTGACAAACAACAGCCAGTCATAGTAGCTACATGTGTTCAAAGCTGTGCTCTGCCGAGGACAGGAGATGTGTATTAGCAGGAGCAAGATGACAACCAGCGGACCGAGAGAGTTGTCATGTTTAGCTGAACTGTAATACAGGCGCTCTTTGGAGATGAGATTGGGTAATCGGAACAGGCCAAAAATAGGAGCATATCCACCTCTGAGTAGATGTCACGCGTATTCTGAAGTATGTTAGGTCTCTTCAGAAACTAACAGATGGCGATGCTCCACACAAGCCTTACAGGCTGTCTACTGATTCATAATGTGACAGCGCTGAGCAGAAAACAGGCCCGAACAATAGGAAACATTTGGTGGCTGCAGCTTCGCAAATGAGAAGATTTGCTGCTTCTCTCTGTTTTATATAATTGTTCGCTGGAGAGTTTTCTGGTTGTTCTTTTGATAAAATGCACAGTTTTGAAACATGACTTTGGGCACTTGTGAACATTTTACAGACTGAATGATAAATAAAAGTGGAAATGTTTGCATTAACCAATAAGTCGTGATGATTGATTGTTTGTAACTCGTGTTTTTGGTATAAAAGGCTGTTATATGTTCAGTCCTGAGTAGAACAGAAGTCCTACATCAGTTATTAGTTATGATGCTTTTGTAAATGCTTCACATTCATGCTCAACCAGCACAATGTCAGGAAGGCTGTGACACAGGTGGACTTGTGTAATTCCTGAGTACATTTCGCTTTGTATTGTTGATTTTACCTTTTGATAATAACACATTATGATAGAGTCCCTGTTTGCTGTCAGTTCCATGGAACAACTCAGTGGTTTTCTCCTTGGCTGCATTACTTTCCTATAATGATTTGTCACATCTCACACCTTTAGAAATCTAATAAAATGCATTTTGGAGCAGGGTATTTGTTGGTTAAACCTGATTTATCAAGTTTTTGGCTGCAACTATTCACATCTGATGATATTTAAAACTTAAAAAAAAAACAAAAAAACAAAAAAGGTATTTACCCCTTTATGCTACAACACCTGCTAGTAGGTTTGAAAGGCATGTTTTCCTTTTTTTAAATCACCAAAATTACCCTCTTTATCGCGGCCAGAAACTGTCAAAACAGAAAGAATCGTCTGATTTTCAACTCTCCGAAGGTCCTGGAAACATGACTAGAACTGTGATGTTTTGTTCCATTCGAAGAGATCTAAGTTTGAAATCATGATATTTAATCAAAATCATGTTATTCTATTTGCCTCATGCAGAAATGTGCTTAAAAAAATAAATCATGTGTCCTAATCAGAGTCTGTAAAAAGGCAAACAAATAAATAAATAAAAATAAAATAATAAATAACAAATAAATAAAATCTGTGCTTTAGTCCTTTACCTGTNACCACATTTCCTTTTATTCTGGAAATTATTTCCCTTTAACCGTCAGTAGGGTTCATCTTCTGGTGACCATGAATGTCCACGTTTTGTGAGAAACCATCTAATAGCTGTTCCAATGTTTCAGTTTGGATCAACGTTGTGGATCAGCAGCCAGAAGACTTCATTATTATCTACGGCACCTTTCACACGTCAGATCCTTTATGTTAGTCTGAGAGCATCTGAACACGTTGGCTTCAGGTCGTAGTCGTGACACTTTTATAAAAGCTCGACACAAGTCTGAATTCGTAGTACATCTATCTATCAATTACAAACTAAAATATTCAGAAAAAAACAATTTTACTGCAATGAAAACCGAGACTAACAAGTCAGATTAACCCCACTCAGGACTTTTGGACTCTTTTGGACCCCATTGGGCCATTTGGTTTAGGTGACAGCTGTTTTGTTTTATATAAAAAGAGGGACATGTGTCGTGCATTTGGAACCAAAAATGTGTCAACTTATCAGAAAATGTATTTAACATAGTATAAAAGTCTATAATAAATACCAACTAATATTTTGTACATATTCTTTCTTGGGGTCCAAACATGAAAGTCGTGAACAGGGTTAATGCTGCTCACCAGTCATGAGTGTAATCCAGGTTTTGACACAAGATTGAGTTCACTTCGGTCACTTTATTGCCTCCAGCTGTGTAGGAGTCACTCCTCTGGGTTTTTAAAAGATCTGCAGCATCAACCAGAAGCATGAGACACTCCAAAGAGACACAAGTAGCTTCAGTTCAATATTTTATTAGAAGTCAACCTCGTCATGGAGACAGGATCACTCAGGATCTAAGAGCAGGTCACAGTGTGAGCTACGCTTTATCAGCTGCAGTTAAATCATTTCTTACATACATTCTGTGCAGTCACGTTAACCCTGTTCAGGACTTTCATGTTTGCATACGTAGAAGAACCCCGAGAAAGAATATGTGCAAAGTATTTGTTGGTATTCATTACAGACTTCTATAGTATGTTGAATACATTTTCTGATAAGTTGACATGTTTGACAAATGTCCCTCTTTTTATATTTTAAAAAGAAATCCTCAAAAATAAAAAACAAAACAATACCTGTCGCCTAAACCAAATGGCCCCAAAAGTCCTGAACAGGGTGAACAGATCGATGAAGCCAACAATATTATTTATCTCAGGGCTCAGGTTTGGTCTACATCACACTCATCCTCTGTGAACTGATCCTGAGCAGACCCAGTTCTCCACAGAAACACCCTGTTGGTTACTGCATGGCCCTCTTCTCTCTGACATCTTTCCTCTTGGGTTAGAGAGCTGGATGACCTCAAACCCACCAGACAGTGAGATACTGTAAATATCTCGTCCCCTTGCATATCTGATGATGACAAATCCACTGAACTCCCAGTCACTGTGGTTTCTGTGTGTAATGACATGAAAAGAGTGTTTGCAGAGTGAGGCATCGCTGCTAGAATAAAGCCCATAATAACAGGCCTGTTTGTTCACTGTCTTGTCTGGATTATTTGGCGTTATGTGAAAACCTGTGCTGGATTTTGCAGACAACAGAATCATGTCAGTTGTACTAAAAACTAACAGAAACACCCGTGTGGACCAGTGATCTTCAATATCAGGTCACCAATCAATAGCCTCAATAGCAAGAATTCAACAACATTACATTTTAAGTTAAAAGTTTCTTGGCTCCCCTCAGTGACTGCTGAAGTTGTGATATTATTTAATTACAGTTTTTAAAGTTAAAAAAGATATTACTGAGGTTTGCTCCACCAGCTTTCACTTCAGCGTAATTCCCAGACGTCTCTCGATGACCCATAAAACTCTCGGGTGTAAGAAATCATGAGGAATACTTTGTGAGGACGTACTTCAGCGCTTCTGAAGTCAACTCTGATGTATTTTCCACGTGTGTTCTAATTTAAATCCAGACCCGGTGGAGGAGGAGAGCTTTAAGAACATCGTCCGTGTAAATGTGGTTAAAACAGTTAACACAGTCCTGGAGCCCGTCGCGTAGGCAAGATACAAACAAGTTCCTAAATTAAGATTTGTCTCTTTATTAAATCGGGGATCTAATTAGCTCCTCCGGTAAAAAACGTTCACCCTCTTGTTGCTCTTCAACATTGAATCCATTTATTTTGGCTTTTTTTTGACGAAAAATTTGCAAAAATGAAAAACATATAATGTAAAATAGGTTTATACCAACTTCTAGCTTTTCCTTATTAGTTTACCTTTTATATATTTATTAATTGACATTAATTTGTTAGAAATCTGTCTTCACTTTGACATGAAAGAGTCTTTTCTTATAAAAGCAAATTATGTTCAGCAGGACTCAGTTCTAAAAAGCAATAAACGTGGAAAAGGGGTTGAATGCTTTTAATAATCACTGTGTGTGATGCAGTATCATGGGAAGACATTATTGGGAGAGGAAATAAAGCAGAATGTCTCACTATCAGCTGGCTTCAACCTCATAACCAACTGATTCGGTCGTACTTTGCTTTGCTTTGTTGTTATTGCAGATTGTAGTTAACAACTAGCAGCGTTTAATGAGGGTGTTTTTCACACTGATGACATGATTTTACATGTAGAAGGCCAACCAGGATGCTTTCAGGTTCATATATACTCTAAAACGATTCTCTCTTCTTATATGGAAACGTAAATAAAAATTTTAAAGTTCTGAATATACTGCAACTCCAAATGCAAATGTGGTTCCCTTTATGGAAATTTAAAATGTAAATGTGAAAGAAAACGGATGAAAAACCTTAAAGCTCAGCCCATAACTCTTAAAATTCTGCTGCTTCATGCTGCTCTTATGCTCCTGCCCAGACAACGCCGGCTACTTTCAGATCCAAGCTAAAGATCCACCTATTTACTGCCGCTTTAATGTGAACCTACTTTTATATCAAATCGATGTGTTAGTTTGTTTTATCCGTGCGCTTTATTTTTTCATTTACTTCCTGGCCTTCTGCCCGTGGACTCTGTAAAGCACTTTGTGCTGCGTCTGGGTTTAAAATGTTTCTTCAATATGTCTGTGACTTTATAGAAACTCTTGATTCTTCAGTTAAAACTCCTCCAACTACGACACACATCGAATACATTTGCATGAAAGCAGCCAGATTTAGATTTGGACCGAACACACAACAAGTGACTGTCCCCCCCGTGTCCTCAGTGTTTAGACATAAAAGGATTTGCTTTTGCAAATTTATGAGCTTCGAATTATAAGAATCTGCCTGACATCCATCCTGAGAGTCAAACTGTTTTTCTTAGATGTTTGTTTCTTTGGTTTTCAGCAAATGCAGACATGAAAAGCTCCCGTAACAGTAAGCTGGTTACACAGACTGAATGCACAGTCAGCTTCAGATAATTGTCCATAGAAAATGCACGAGGTCAGCAGGGATGTGCTTTACGGAGCGACTGTGCAGCTGCTGTTGCTCTCGTGTCTTTAACATTGATCATTAAAAATTTACAGATATACAATGAGGAGAGACGACGGTTTAGTCTGGTGAAGAATCAGCCGCGCAAGATTGTGGAGAAGGTGGCCTTGGATATCGAGAAGCTGCTGGCTAAGAAGCGCAAAGCTCTCGACGTAAGTGTCTTGTGTTTTAACGGTGGATGCTCCAGGATGGGGGTGTTCAGCGTTCTTAAATGTAAGAATAGTAATGAAAGCAAAGTACAGCTTGTACAATGAAGTGCACGTTCCAGTCTGTCTCCAGCATAAACACTCAGCTGTTCTCTCAGCAGGAGATCAATCCGTTGAAGATGTGATTCAGATTGGTTTTGTGTGAGTTTGCTGACGGAACAAAAGTTTCCTGCAACACTTGCATTAAAGTTTTGTGACGATACAGCCCGAGGATATAAGCACGACTCGCTTACAGCGGAAGCTCAACAGAGAAAGTATTCTGTAGATGCTTTTTTATGTTGGTTTTAACTGGTTTAATGGATATTTTTAGTAGCTACAAGGAAAAACCGTTATACAATGACAAGAAAAGTGCAATTGAACACACTTCTTCCAGCGTTATTTGGAAAAACCTCTCAACCCAGGTGTGGTTCAGCTTCTTTGTTGACTGAGTAAATCACGTGTCATCATACGTGTTCCTCTAATGCTTCTCTGTTTGCTCCATGCAGAGGTTAGCCAGCGAAGCAGAGCGACTCCAACGAGAGCATCTGTGGCAAGATGGAATCAAGGTAAAGCTTTAAACTTTGCATTTTAATTGTAATTTGTCGGCTTTATTCCATTTCAGTTCCATTTGTGTTCATGATTGTTGAACATTCATACCAACTATGAAGACTTGGGAGTTTCTGGCTCGTTTTCAAATATCTGTCATTAGTGTCGACCAGTTGTATATAATATATATTATATATATTTTATAACCTTAGTAGGCGCATGAATGACAAATTAAAGTGATATAAAGTGTCCTCGTAGGCCTCAGTGTGCCTTAGCATTGATTCCTGGAGCTCTACTGGAGAGATGATTTTTCCAAACATATC